CTCTCTCCCTTTCTCGCTGGCTCATCCGTCTGCCGATGCTCCCTGGGATCAGGGCAGGAAAATGAGGCCGGGTGGAGGATGCCGCATGGCGATTGCGGTTCCTCTTCGTCTATGCTCTCTTCCAGATGCAGAGTGGTCAGACCCCCCCCCCGAGGACGGCACTCTCTTCTCGGAGGGTGTCTCAGGAGGGCCAATAGAGGTGTTGGCGCTCTCGCGCTCCAATGGCAGGCCGCCCATCCTCGGAGAGGAGGAGGCACGACTCTGGGACTTCCGAATTGAGGGCAGGTATATCATGCCGGGGGTCGAGTCGCGACCATTTGCAGGGCCGCCAGGAGCAAGGCCAAGGGGCGATGGTGTCCAAGTGGTCGTTCGTGACAAAACAAACCACCGGCCCGCAGGGCGTCCAGGTGGGCCAAAGGTTGATCCTCTGCGTTACACCTGGACCTTGGCATTCTGACTCACGGGTTTTTTCCTTTCAAACCACCCTCCCTCGATTGAGTCCCCCCCCCCCCCCCCCCCCCCCCCAGGTCCCTTACCTTTGGGCGCACACCTCGGCCTGGCAGGGCGCCCCCGCCTACAGTTGGCTCGGTTGCGGCCGCGCCCCACCTTGTGCGCGGGGAAACAGGACCACTGTGCGCTCTTGCCGCCACGCTGGAGCGCAATTAATGTAGGCCGCCGCACTCTTTTCGACCCTCGACCCCCCTTTCTCCCCCCAGCACACCTCTCCGGATGGGGGGAAAAGGAAGCAGGCAACAACAGCAGTGCACCCCTCAATTTTGGGGCTCGACCAGAAAACCAGGCGGCTGGCCTCAGGGGGAGACGTGTGCCTTACGCGTGTGTGTCAGCTCCGGGTGTTGCCCCATGGTCGAGCCGGGGTGTGTGGGAGGGGGGGGGGGTGCCCTGGGTGTTGTTGTCTAGATTTATTTTTTCAGCGTAACAAGCGCCACCACGCCCCTGCACCTACCCCGCCACACGCCTCCAAGTGTGTTCTTTATACGCATGAGCGCTCACAGGCGTGGCGATTCGGTGGATGGGAATTCGGGCTGTTACATGGTTTCGGGAAAATTGGTCCCAGACACGGTCTCCGCCTCGGCGTAGTATCCACCCCCGGCGTGCGGCGAGGGCTGCTGCTGCTGCTGCTGCTGCTGCTGCTGCCGCTGAGAGTGGTGGTGGAGCAGATGCACACCGACCGGGTGGCTGTGGCCGGCGTGGAGCTGCTGCGGCTGGTGCGTTTCGCCGCCGCCTTCCACCGAGTGGACAGCGTGCATTAGTGGAGGCTGTTGGTGGTGGGCGACGTGCTGCTGCTGCTGCTGGTGTTGGTGTTGGTGCACAGCCACAGCACCTCCAATCATGTGGAGGACATGTTGATGCGGGGAAATGTACTGGTCGAGGGCCGTGGCCGCCTCGGCCACTGCCTCCAAGCCGCCATTATTGCCGCCAGCAAGCAGGTGGCCCGCCTGCTGCTGCTGCTGCTGCTGCTGCAGATGGGGATTCTTGTCAAAACTCGGCGCCATCTCGGCCCGCATGTGGTACCCGGTGGCGGACTCGGCCGCGGCGGCGGTGGTCACATACGAGTCGTCCCCGCCCCCCCGGCGGTCGACCGGTCTATGGGAGTGGGCGAAGCCCGAGGAGGAGGGGACGGTGATCTGGGAGCCGTGGGAGGGGTAGTCCCACTGGCGAGGGAGGGCAGCGCATCCAAACAGGGAAGTGACAAGGTACGCCGCATGCGCCAGCCCCCCGACACACACACACACACAGACAAAGCGGGCACCGTTTTCGAGATCCCGTCATAAGACAGTAGCGAGGACGTGGGGGGGATGGACGCAAAGCAGGAAGCAGGCATGGATGTCAATGACCGGCATTTCTCGGAGCATTTGTCCTTCGACTGCTGTTGGGCCGCCGACTCAGGAGCCCCCTGACCCCTTGCCCCGGGTGCGCCCCGCGCCCGCACCCCCTCCCCCCCTGTGGCCCCTGCTTCACGATGATATTCTCTCACGCAGATTTGAGCAGGCCTGCCCCCCCTCGCCCCTCCGTCGCCATGTGGTTCTCTCTCTCTCTCTTTCTCGGGCGAGGAGGCAGACGTGAAACACGTCCAAGAGAGAGGGCGGGGAGGTAGAGAGTGACGTACCACCGGCTGAATGGAGGCGCTCGCCGGCAAGGAGTCAAAATTACTGAGCTGCTGATTCGCAACAGCAGCGGCGGCGGCGGCAGCGGCGGCGGCAGCAGCAGCAGAGGACGCTGACACGCCTACGGCCGGCGCCCCGCCGGCGCCGGTGCTGTACGGAGAGGCCGAGCCTGCGGGGAAGTGCCCCCCGCCAGGGGCCAGGGGCACCGGCGTGGCAAAGGCCATGCCGCCCCCGCTGAGGGGTGACGAGTGCAGGGCACCGCCACCGGAGCCCACCATGCCGACGGGGGGCAGCATCAGGGCCGACCCGCCGCCGGGCGGCAAGTGCTCATGCCCGGCGTTGCCGAGCCCACCACCGGCCGCACCGGCGATCCCCCGCGGCAGGGCCGACTGAATGACATTGATCAGCTCGTTGGCGCGGGACAGGAGCTGGGAGTTGATGTTGGACGCGGCGGCGGCCGCGGCGCCGGAAACCCCAACCACCACCCCGGCCCCGGAGTAGCCGCCGACCACGCCCGAGAGCGGCACACAGGCGGCCGACATCTCAAGCACGCGCTCCTCGAAGGCCATGCGCACGGCGATGGTCACCGGCCGACCGAGGTCCGCCCCGGCGCTGACGGCCGCCGCCAGGTGCTTGGTCCGTTCGAGGCGCGTCTCCGAGGCATATAGCCGAGCCACCCGCAGGAGCGTGTGTGCTTCGGCGTCGGTGGAGATGGCCACGCTGCGGCGGGCGGCGGCGGCGGCCGCGGCCGCGGCCGCACCCGACCCCCCGCCCCCGCGCGCCCGGCGCGTCGAGTGCCGCGAGGTCTCACACTCCGAGGGGACCTGGATGCCGGCCATCAGCAGCAGAACCACCAGGCGCCGGCGGCGCTCCCGGCGGATCTTAATCCACGCCATGTAGTCGGCCCCGTCGCCGTCGAGGCCGACCGCCCGAGCGGCGTCCATCTCGTCGAGGCTCGGCGGCCCGCCGCCGCCCTCGGACGAGTCGGGCAGGAAGCGCTTGTGCAGGGTCTTCCACCGGTCACGCAGCATGCTCACTGCGAAGGGCGGGTTGGACCGGTGGGCGAAGCCGAACTCCGGCGAGTCGAAGATGCGCTGCCAGCTGCTGGTACCGAGCTGGTGTGTGTGTGTGTGTGTGTGTGTGTGTGTGTGTGTGTGTGTGTGTGTGTGTGTGTGGGTGTTCATGTGCCGCCGAGGGGTGTTAGCCGTTGGATGGGTGCTGACTTGCGCTGCTTTCTTGGCTGCTCGCCTCCCCCCCCCCCACAGACACAGGCACGCATGCATGCGCGTCTCATGCCCGGCTCTTGATCCCTTCCATGCTCCCTCGTCCGGAGCTGAGCAGGGGGCTTCGGGAGCGTAGAGGGAGGACCCCCATCCCCGCTGCCGCCTCCCGGGCAAAAGGGCTGCCCCTTGCACGCCCTCCACCCCTGCTTTCGGGTTGCGCGGAAGGCATATCCCCCCTTGGGCGAAAACGGGGACACTGGAGGCCAGGCTCCAGACGCACCTTTGTCGCGCCCTCGATCAGTCTATAGGTGTCCAGGAAGTTCCACTTGATCAGAGGCCGGCCGTGGTCCTCCGGGTGGCGGATGCCGGCAACGATCCCCACCACCGGCCCGCGGTTGGAGGAAGACGTCGTTCCGCCGGCCACACCTGCCTTGTCTGACGAGAGAGAGAGAGAGAGGAACAGAGCAGAGAGCCACCAGCGGCCGTTAGCCCGTCCCGCAGTGAGAGACAGCAGAAGGGGCGCAGCATGGCACACACACACACACACACACACACCGGGGGTCAGCAAGGGACATGCGCGTGCCAGGACAGGGTCATTTCCTTCTCCCGCCTGCCTGGGACGGGAGCCCGCTCGATGGTGACACACTGCCCACCGCTCCCCCTCCTCCCCCCGGGCCCCTCTCGACCGGTCTCCCTGGCGTGGTGTCTCCCCCGTGGGGTGGGTCTTCTCGCAGACGCACTCTTGTCGGGGGAGTCCTCATGCGAGGAGCCCAGGTAGTCCGTGGCCTCGAGCGCGTCGCTGGAGTAGAACTCCACCGACAGGGTCTCGCCAATGGAGTTCGGCTCGTCATGGGAGAAGTCCTCCGGGTCCGCGGTGGAGGTGGCGCCCCCTCCGCCGGACGGTCCACCAGACCCGGCACCGCCGCCGCCCGGGGGAACGACCGAAAGACGCCGGGACTTGGCCAGCTTCTCGGGGGGCGCCGCTTCGCCGGAGTTCCGCCGCTTGACGGAGAGCGACCCGCCGGCGGCACGTTTAAAAGTGTCATGGAAGCATTCTGCCGGGCAAAGGAGCCGCCACGGCACCGGGAGTTAGATGGCCGCTGGCAGGCTCGGCAATGCGGCCATGGACAGTCCAGTGACAAGGGGAGAGAAGGGTCCTCCCCTGCCCCCCCACCGCCGAGCGCAATGTATGGATGGCCGGAAAAAAAAAAGAAATGCCAGGAAAAGGGGAACACCCCACACGGCCTGGACGCCGCACACGCGCATGCTGACGTACGGCTCTCAAAGTCCCCGAAGTCGAAGGCCAGGCGCCGGAGGCCCACCACGCGGCCGGGATCGGCCAAGCCAGCAAGCTGCGATCGAGTTAATGTCCAGAAGTCTTAATAGAACACTGAACTGGAGTCCCGCCCCATGCGTTCTGGCGCGGTGTCCGCCCGGGGGCGGGCGCGTGCGGCGACGACGCCGCGGCCGGGTGTGTCGTTGTGGGCATACCTTGCTGCCAGGGGATGGGGAGGCTGTCCGGCCGGCGGCGGCGGCGGCGACGATGGTCCCGGCGAAGCGGGCGTAGCATTCGGCCAGGGTCTGGTGGTCATGGTGCGGTGGGTGGAGCTGGTGGGCGTGGGGGTGGTGGTGGTGGTGGTGGTGGGGGGCATGGTAGGCGGCGTGGTGGAAGTGGCCCCCCCCGCCGGGGGCCATGCTGCTGTGGAGGCTGCCATGGCCGGCGACGACGGCGGCGGCCATTGTGCCGCCGGCCGAGGCCGGCCCCCCCGCGCCGGGGAGAAGCCGGTGGTACGGGTCGTAAGAGCCCTCGGAGAAGAAGTTCGGGCAGGTTTGTCCCAGGCCCAGGCGCCGGAGGGCCTCCCGGTCCAGGAGCTTGAGGGTGGCATTCAGCTCGGCAAGCGGGGGGCTGGACTCGCCGGCGGCCGCGGCCGCGGCTGATGCCGGGCACCGGCGCCCATGCAGGGCACTGCCTCCGGCTCGAAGGTCCTGCTCCAGTTTCAGACTTTCTGAGGGGGAGATGTCGCGCGTGCGGCAGGCATCCACAACCGCGAGGCCAGTGCCACTGCTGCCACTGCTGCTACTGCTGCTGCTGCTGCTGCTGCTGCTGCTGCTGCTGCTGATGGTGGTGGTGATGGTGGCACCCCCAACGCCGGATCCGCTGCCCGAGGCCTTGCCAAGGCGCAGGGCCAAGTACCGCTCGCACAGGGCCTGGCCCAGGGCCCAGACAATGTCGCCCTGGCCCGGGGGGAGAGCCGCGCAGAAGGCGTGGCGCGCGAAGGTCAGCATCACTTGGCAGCTCCGGTCGAGACTTGGGTTACGTCAAGGGGCCGTGTGTTCGTGGCCGACATGGATTGGCCCGGGGGAGGGGCAATCGGGAATCGGGAATCGGGAATCGGGAAAGGGCGAGCACAGGTCCACCGGTGTCAGAGCGCAGGAGCCAAAAGCGGGGGGCTGCGCCATGCGCATGTGGCGAGGGCAGAAGGACAGAGTCTAGCAGGATGGTGGGCCGCATGTGCGTACCCGGACTGGTGGGCTGCCTCGGCGGCGCCAGCAGCAAGGCGGAAGGCCGCATGCCCGGCCTCCACGACGGCGGCCGCCGGGTTGTCGGCAAGCGAGCAGAACGGGCTCCCGATGAGGGCGGCCGAGGAGGAGAAGGACTGGATGAGCAGCGAGCTCAGGCGGATGTGGAGATCCGCCGCGAAGACTGCCAAATTCTGGTAATACATCCCGATGGGGATCTTGGCCTCGCTGGAGTCCGCTGGCGTGGCCCCGGCGGCCGCCGGGGTGGTGCCGCCGCCTCCCTCAACCTGCAGGGCGCGGTATCCCGAGCGGAGGACTTGGTCCTGGACTTTGTCGAAGTTAAAGAGGACGCTCTCGATGCGCTCACGACTGCTTGCCGTGGGGAATGCCCATGTGGTGGAATTGCCATGTCAGCCACTTTGGATCGCATATTGGCGCGGGGGCGGGGGGCGGAAGGGGGGGCCCTCTCGCGAGTGGGCCCCCTGCCGGGCCGAAAGGAGGCAGGCATCTCCAAAAGCCCTGTATATATATAACTATGTATCTCCCTCGCACATGCGGAAGAGGCGCACCCGGAACGCATGACAGAGCGCAGTTCCGCCAGAATCCCGAGGGCCAGGAGGGTGTGGCTCGGGTCCCAGGATCGGCGAAGGCCATTCCAGATGTCATCATCTGTCAGCTGAACTACCGACTCGAGGGGCTGCTCGTTGATGATGTCCAGATTGTAGGTGTGCGTCAGGGCCAGTTGCTGTTGCTGGTGCGGCTGCGGCTGCGGCTGCAGCTGCGGCTGGTGGTGGTGGTGGTGGTGGTGTTGCGGGAAGTGCTGAGCTTGCAGTGGCAGAGTGGCCTGGGGCTGCGAAGTAAGCATGGTTGGAATCGCGGGGAGGGGCAGCAGCCCGTTGGCCAGGCCCGGTGCCGGGTGCAGCAGTGGCAGGCCGCTGACAAGACCCCGATCGTTCATGAAGAGAAGCTGCGGCTCTGGATGGTGTCCCGAGCTGGGATCCATACTGGGGGGGGGGGGGGGGGGGAGGGGGCGAGGCGTTATGATGTTGTTGGGTGAGTCTTTCGGCTTGCTCTTTTCGTGCTTTCCTGCCCTGTATCTCTCTTCTTCTCGTTGCTCTTCTTGCATCTCTCTCCCTGGCTCTCCCTCTTTCGCTGGATCTCTTGCAGCCTCTCAAGCGTCCCACCCCGGTGGCCCATTGTGGAGCCTGAGTGCGCCGAGGAAGGCACATGAGGGGTGGGCATTGGATGTGGACGTACACGCGGAAGCGTGAACGTGCTCGCTCTTGCCGGGGGCGGAGGAGAAAAGGAGGCTCAATGGAAGTCGAGGCGGTGGTGTGTGGCTGGGCAGGCAGGCAGGCGGGAAAGGTGCATGAAGTGTGGTCTTGGAGAGGGAGGAAGGCAGGGGCAAAGGGTCTTCATGACCTCCTACCGAGGGAACGGCCACTCTGGATGCCTTTATAGCCGCCGCGTGTGTCAGGTGCGGCGCACGTTGCGGAAGATCACTCAGCCGGGAAATGGGGCAGAAGTGCGGCGCACGATGGCACATTGCCCGGCCCTTCGCGACGCCGTGATGGATGTGCCCCCTCCCGCCTCTCCCGCGCCTCGGCTCCGGCTTGCCCCCCCCCCCCCCCCCCCCTCCCCCGCCCCCGGGGGGGAGGAAGGGCACAGGGGGGAGTCGCGGCGAGGCATTCCACACACGGCGTGGGGCAGCGCACCGCACGATCAGTCCCTTTCGGCGCCTCGCCATGCCGGTAATGATGCTGCCCGGGCCAGGTCCCGGCAACGTATCATTGCGGGCGATTGCCTGGTCCTGGGCGAGTGTTGGCGGGGGAGGCTCCCACTGATGGTGGCGTGGTGAGGGCGTCTTGTACCCAGGGGCGCGAGTGGGCTGAGCTGAGATGGGGGCGGGGGGCGGGGGGCACACGGGCCGGCTGGGAGCATGCCTGAGGCCATGCCTGTTCCCCCAGCAGCCCCCCCTTCCTTGCGTCCACCCAAGGAGGAGGGGGGCCGGGGGCGAATCGGCCCACCGGCAACTAAATGGCAGCCCTGGCCCTTACACATGCGTGTGTGCCCGTGCGCAGGCGTCTCTTCCTGGCACTTTCCAGGGCCGTGCAATCTGTTTTGAGCTCGTCAAGCTGCGTGTCCTGCCCGAAAGGCTGAGATCCGCCAAGGAGGGGCAGGTGAGCCAGGGCCGGGCCAGGCGGGGAGCTGAAAGTCCCCGGTCATTAATACGGGCAGGAGGTTGTGCCAGGGGCAAGATCCTCCAGGAACGAGCCCAAAAGCCCCCAGCATGACCCCCCTACCGAGGGCCTTTCACATTGATCTTCCCTGGGGCTGAGGCGGCCGCAGCGGGTGCGGGGCGCGAGTGCGGGGGGGGGGGGGGGGGGGAGGTCTTGGCGGCAGCACATGCGCGAAGTGACACTCCCACGCACATACACCCACCAGGGCAATGTTCGACCGGCGATCTGGGTGGTGCAACACCCGCACGTCTGAAGGGCATGGTCTTGGCGCGGGGAGCCAGGTCCTGGCCCGAGGCCTGGCATGGGAGGCGTGAAATCAGCGGGCGAGGCGCAGCACAGGAAGACGCATTCTAGAGGCAGAAACGTCCGGCGAGGTGCGCAGCCCGCTGGGGGGTGGGGTGGGGTGGGGTGGGGGGGGGGACGAGGAGGGCCTTCGCCATCGGGTGTGCGGGCCGTGCGAATTCCCCGGCCAGCCCCCTGTCCAACTCGCTTGAATTTCTCACAGCCCGAGGGCCGCCAGTGTTGCCGGTGCACCGGGCCCCCGCCACACGAGCGCACGCCTGTACCATGCTCTGCCGTGCGCTAGATGGCCCCCTCTCTGCCGACTGGCCGGGAGGCGGGGCCTCCCCATCCACCAGTAAACCTATGCGCGGCAGGGAGCCGCAGGGGGGAGCGTGCTGCCGCTTGGCGTCGAAAGCACGCGGCCTTGGCGCAGGCGTCCAAGCCTGCCAGACGCCCTGAGCGCGATCGCGCGCGCGCGCGCGCGCGCGCAAGGTCATGCACCTGTCATCGCCACCCCAGTCGCCAGCAGTGTCGCGTCCGGGGATGCACAACGCTGGATCGGCCGCCAGATCGGCCTTGGCGAATGGGCAGAGTCAAATCGCGCAACACATATCCATCTCTCAGGGGCTGCTCGGGAACACATGACGCGATGGAACCATCTTCGGCCTCCTTAGCATCCCCCGGGCGTCTCACCAAGGGCTGCTTCCGAGCCAGGCCGGGTGTCCTCCTCGCCGGCACCACTCTCCTGCCCCCCCCCCCCCCCCCCCATCCAGGACCCAGGTCGCCCGGTCTGTGGGGATCTTGCACGTAGGAATAGAGGGGGATTCGCTGTCACTTTGGGGAAGCACGTGCGTGTATGTATGTGTGTGTGTGTGGGGGGGGGGGGGGGTGCTCGCACGGACAAGGCTTGTGCATGCGACTCGGGTGGCGCAAGAGCCCGCGGCCCACCTCACGGCCGTACAAAGACGCATGTGCGTGTGCGAGCATGGGCTTCGCTCGAATGCAAGGTTATTCTACGGCGAGGAGTGCCGCTTCTGGGAGGACCGGATTTGCCCCCGGGACCCTGAATGCGGTGCATAGCCCCTGCCTGCCGCCACCTGAGCACCAGTACCGGAAGGCGCGCCCGAGAGGATGCGCGGCTGGCCCCTTGACCGTCAGCGAAAGGCACGGTTGGTCGGCCGTCTGGAGAGTCTGCTCCTCTACCCAGTCGGGTCATGGGCATGAGGGGGGGGGGGCGGAGGTTCAGCTCTGGAGCCACTTTGGAGGCCGTGACCCACATGAGTCCAGGGCGGCGGTGGCGGCGAGTAGGAGGGCGGTCCCGAAGAAGGGGCCGAGACAGCCCCGCGTAAGGTGTGCCGGAGGACCGTTGCACCGGCCAATGTCGGATCTGGCGCCACAACGGCTGGCTGGCTGGCTGGCTGGCTGGCTGGCTGGCTGGCTGGCTGGCTGGCTGGCTGGCTGGCTGGCCGGCCGGCCGGCTGGCTGGCTTGACCAAGCAACTCGGCCCCGATCCCCGGAAAAGCAGCACCATCCTCGTCGGTGATGCGCGCGCGCACACACGCGCGCGCGCGCCCGAAAAAGGCTGCCAGATGTGCGCAGGCCGGGGCGCCACCGGGTCGTCCTTCCACCAAGGCCCCCGGGTCAGGACCCGCCAAGGGAAGGGCAAATTAATTGCCTCCCTCGCTGTTAATAGTGCCGTCCTTGCCCTTTGAACCGTGTGAGTGTGTGGGTGTGGGTGTGTGGGGGGACCTCGCAGGAGGCGGGTGCCTTTGCCATAGGCCCCCCAAGGCACCGGGGTGTCCAGCTGCCGCGGCCACCAAGGGGACCGGGCCTTGCCCCCTCTGGCGATCTGGAACGGACTCCATATGAGGGGCAGTGGAATATTTCCGCCGCGCCCTGCGCAGCGCGACCACGCTCATGCACAGGGGCCCCGGCTGGATGAGCACACATCGAGTCAGGAGGCCGAAGGGGCCGCCCTTTTGGATGGACTCCGGGTGCGGCGCCCGGCCCGGAGCCCCCCCCCCGCCCCCCCGCGGATACAACTTGCGTGGCATCTCTCGGCCGCGCCACCCGACCAAGATCCCATGGCGGTCGGACCGGGTATCGCTCGTGGATTTATCCCCCCCTCGCCGGCGGCCGTCCTGCCTGGATCCTCGGCCATTCGCGGCAGGGGAAAGGGCTGCCCTTTCCGCCGGCGGCCGGGCGTGCTTAACATCTACCCCCACCCGGGGGGGGGGGGGGGGGGGGGGGGGGGGGGGGGGGGGGAGGCGGGCGCGGGAGGGGGATCCCCAAGAGCCGCAGGTATGGCCGCCTCCAGACACGGATAGGGCCATGTCCGCTCATGTACCCTGCCGCAGGGAGAAGCAACTTCGGTCGGCGAGCCCATGGCGCATCCAGGATGCCTGGCAGGCGCTTTGCCCTTGGCCACAATCTCCCTCGCCGACTGCACAGTTGTGCCGGCGAGGCTGCACGTTCGCCCGCGCGACGGTTTCCCAATCTACCGGGGGCACCCGGCTCGTTGGGTACTGGCCGCCGCGATGGTGCCGTGGGCAAAGGAGCTCTACTCGGCCCGGTCGCACGGGGCAGACACAACTGCCCTTGGCTTCTTTCCAGTGCGTCGTCCCTTGCCTGCCGGCCCTCTCTTGCCTGTGCGAGGAGAGTGACCGGACGCGGGAGGCCGGAGAGGGGGGGGAGGGGGGGGCGGAGACCGAAAGGGCCCAATCGGGGCCTGTGAGCGTGTGTGTGTGTGTGCGCGCGGGGGGGTCCCACCACGCCAGGCCGCCACAAGGCAAGCGCAATCAGTGAGCCGGTTGGCCGTGGCCTGGAATATGGACATCATTCAGATGGGCAGGCCGGCGCGTCGGACCTGCTTGGCTTGACAGCGCGCGTTCCGGATCGGGGGCGCCTGGGGGGCTCGGGCCGGAGTGGGCATCACCCACAATATAGATACACGTGACATTGCCGGCGCCCGGGAGGCCACGCACATGCTCTGGCAACCATCTGATCGATCTGCGGCATTTTATTTAACAAAGGGACGAGCATTTGCCCCCTGTTCTTGCGGCGGCGGCTGCGGCGACTACCGCGGGGGGGGGGGGGGGGCCATGAGTGGGAAGGGAAAAAGGCAGCACGGAGAGCGAGTCAAGGGGACAAAAGATGACTGCGCACCAGTCCAGG